GTGCTCTGGTCCATGGAGTCACGAAGAGTCGGACACGACTAAACGACTAAACAACAACAACAACAAATGTTCATACTGATTTTAAAGTTTATTTGTATTGCTTCTTTTATATATTGTATTTTATTTTGGGGTGTATGTGGTGTTAGGGGAGGGGTAGTACCTCTGGTGGGGGACACAGCTTGCTCCCTCTGGGGTAGTTTGTCCACCTTTGGTCCCCGCCCCCTGCACTCAGCTCTCACCTGTGACTCCTAGAAGTTGCCAGCATGCAATGATGGCTACACTCCCGGAATGGCTTTGACTGACCGGCTAAGCCAGGTGAGAGTAGCTGATGGGTCTCAAACCTTTGGTGAGTTAGGGACTTCCCCTGCATGAGAAGACAGGCTCCAGTAGGTTGAGCGGACGAGACCGATAGTGGGTCCTTCAGTCAAGAAGGCAGTTTCTGAACATGCTGTAGAGGGAAGTGAGGGGCAGGTTGGGCTTATCAACTTGGGAAGGTAGCCTATCTAGGAGAAGGTAAACTCCGATCCTAAACCTCTGATGCCTTGTGGGATATCTTCAGGAAAAGTAAAGGCTAAGGAGTAAACCCTACACAAATCCAGAGTGCAGTCCCTTGAGGACTGTCCACCCAAACCCCCTTATGCATTCATGAAGAATTGAGGGGCAGCAGGATCATGCCTGCTAGCTATGCCTCATGCATGCCAGCAACACACCATAAAGTCTGCATATATGGCATCAGTATGAAGATGCCAATATACATGCACATGCTTTAGGGGCTCCTCCAAATGACTGGGAAAGCCTGGCATGCACTTCAGTGTTTGGGGTGAATCTACTGCAGTGTGCAATACTGGGGAGTCATGTGAAAGGTGCAACCATAAAAATGCATTGCATTGGGATTTATTCAGGAAGGTTCAGAATTTGAAAAAGGGATTTGGGGGTCCAATAAAAAAGCTATTGAACTTACAAAGGAAGCAATGATTAAGTGGGCCATCAACACTGGGTATAATATTGAAATTGACAAGTGGGAAAAACTATGGAACCAAACAACGAATTTCTCTGCTTGATATCAAATGCTCTAAAAATGCAATACCTATGGTATTTATTTGACACCGGTCAAATTGGCCAAAATGTATAGAAAAGACTCAAAAGTCTGCTGGAAATGTCTAGAACTGGCATAGGCAAACTCTGGCTCTCCAGATGTTTGGGACTACAATTCCCATCATCCCTGACCACTGGTCCTGTTAGCTAGGGATGATGGGAATTGTAGTCCCAGACATCTGGAGAGCCGGAGTTTGCCTATGCCTGGTCTAGAAGCTGAGGGTACATTTATTCACTTATGGTGGAGATGTAATTGGGCAAAGGAATTTTGGGAAATGGTGTACAAGGAGTTAAAAAAAATATCTTTAAATTTACATTTCCCAAGAGACCAGAAGCATTCCTTCTTGGCATAATTGGAAATGAGTTACCCAAAAAAACCCCATAATTTATTCTTATATGCAACAACAGCTGCAAGGATAGTGTACGCAAGGTACCGGAAACAAAAAGAGATCCCAGGGAAAGAACAATGGTTAAATAAACTAATCGAATATGCTGAGCTTGCAAGTATGACATCTAAAATAAGAAATGTAGACGGTAAACAGACAAGGAGTGAGTGGGAGTATTTAGGGGAATATTTACCCCCCCCAAAAAATAATGATCTTAAATATAAATTCCAGGTAGGGGTTACTTCTTGGCCAGCAGTTGACAATACAAATGATATTGGAAGGTGGAAAATAAGGTGAAAGTATTATTGTATATGCAGCTAATTAAGATATACAAAGAACTGTCATGGAATGCTAGATGGGAAGTCCAAAAGAACTACTGTATAAGGATGGAAAATGATATTAGTGTATAACTGAGAACTTATCATTATTTTTTTTTACAAAAATGCATTGCATTGGGTTGGGGGCTCAACTGAATGCTCTTATGATGACTTGCAGCTGAATTATATAACTATTGTGTTTGAAGGGATGTAAGGTCATATGAACATGATATCTCATAACCTGCAAGTCACCATTTGATGCTGGTGTCTGGAAGTGACGGACATCCTGAACCACTGAACAAATTCATTTTGGCTTTATTTGATAATTCGACTTTCTAGTCATATCACATTTGGATGCCGTGCTTATTTTCTGCACAGAAAATGTAGATAAAGCCTGTGGAGATTTTTTAAAAACCCAGGACACAAATAAACTGCAGAAACTGCATTCCTGCGGCCGCCTCGTGAGGCTCTGCGTTTATTGTTTAAGTAAAGTTTTGCCGTTGTTAAGCCAACTAACAGATATGTGCAACAGCTCATGTGACAGAATGGTAAGAAAGTGTATTAGTCTAATCTAGCAGGGGGTCTATTAAAAACCGGGAAGAGAGTTCCAGAGAAACAGAAATGCTGTCAGTACCATATGTTTATGATATAAAACTGGGTGCTTTCCTGCAATGATATCCTATAACAATGGCAGATGGCCATCTCTTCCTCAACACCCCTCCTCTTTATCAAATAATAAACTTTAACAAATATTGACCAAAAATTCTATGGCTGAGCAAGGCTTCAGTTTCACGACAAATTACATATGGGCTGCTAATGTTCTTTTCCAGGTGGTGGGCTCCCCTTGCCTGGGAATGGCCCTACGAAAGCACCTCCTGCAAAAAGGGGGTGGGTGGGGAGCCATTAGAAGTGCCCAGATCCACCAACTGGATTTTCTGTGCCCCAAAACCTCCTTGGCCACCATGCCCTCTGCAGATCTGATCCCAGACCTACACTGAGCTGTTAGAAGCGTTCCATACTCCTTGAAGATAAAAGCCTGCTTTTGTAAACAGCATTAAAAAAAAACACACTCACAAACACAATCAATTATCCTCCAACATTTATTTGATGAAAGTAGGGATATCCTACCATACCGTCCAACATTTCCCTGATTAAAATAGCGACGTGTTAAGGAAAAGCAGGACATTCTGGGATCAAATCACGACGTCTGTAAATCCAGGGCTGTCCCTGGAAAATAGGGACACTCAGAGAGTCATTTTTCCACAAGAAACACCAGGAGAACCTGCCCCCAGGTGGGTTGCCGCTGTTGTAGGTCATTATCCTCTGCCAAAGATTGAAACCTGAGGCATTAAAAAAAAATATGCTTAGAAGTAGTAGGAAAATATAGGCCTGGGCAGGCCGCGTCACCCTCTTATACAGTGGTACCTCAGGTTACATACGCTTCAGGTTACAGACTCCGCTAACCCAGAAATAGTACCTCGGGTTAAGAACTTTGCTTCAGGAGGAGAACAGAAATCGTGCGGCAGCAGCGCGAGGCCCCATTACCTAAAGTGGTGCTTCAGGTTAAGAACAGTTTCAGGTTAAGAATGGACCTCTGGAACGAATTAAGTACTTAATCTGAGGTACCACTATATACCTGGTGGGATTGACAAGGCATATGACCCTCCCCTGAATCTCATAGCTCTCCTCTCAGGTGATTTGGTCTGCAGCCACAGTGTGGAAATAAAGGAGGAGATTGCTTTTTTTTACAGTCCCCTTCTCAATGAATTAATCAATTTTAATCTAGCATGTAAATTCTCAAAACTTTCTTATTTTTAATTCTAGCAACAACTGCTCTCACTTCATTACAAACAGTACCGGTATTTCTACCTGCAACACGCTTGAGCAAACCTGCTCCTCTTCCTTTCACAGATATTTTATTTCCATTTGCAACTGTAGCTGCCTCTGATGAGTTATCATTTAACTCTTTGGGGGGGAATTAGCATCAGACGTCATGTTCACGGAAGTTGCCAAATCATTTAAGCAACTAGAAGGGTTAATGTTAATAGCACCAGTTTTCCTATAACTTGATATTGCTGGATAGTTCTGATGAGCTGCAAAAGCATTCTTTAGTTTGCTTTCTGTTGTCACCCTGTAACTTTTCTTTATTAGTGCCACTTTGTTTTGTACGATTCCTTGCAAATGAAGGAAAACAACTTTTCTGCTTGTTTATGTTGATAATATAATTTTGGTTACTGAGACCAAAGAAGATTGTACAAAAACAAGATTGGGTGCAGGCCTGGCCAGAACATAGGCGTCCTGACTGTGACAAAGGTGACCTGTGTGCTTGCTTGCTTGATTAACAGCTGTTGGGAACTTCAAGGCCCCTGCTCTCTCTTCTTATGGTCTTAAAGCCCCCCAGATTTAGAGGCCCAAGTTGCCCTGCCCCCACATGAAGTCTTGGGTTTGCAATTTTGGGAGAGGGGACCTTGCCTGCTGGGGAGGCCCCCTAGATTTAGAGGCCCTAGGCTTCAGCCTACTTAGCCTATACATAAATCCGGCACTGAGCAGAAGGGCCCACTCAGCATGCTGTGTAATTTTAAATATATATATATATATAAAGCTAAATTTGGCTGAGAATAATATTCATATGTGCAATACTTAACGTCTGCTTAATTAACACACTTTCTAAAATCTAAAAGCGCTGCTGAAGTTCATAATGCTTTGCAGTGTCATCTATCTCAATTTTATAATAACAGGAACAATTAAAACATGCATATAGTACAATTTGCAAATCTAATGCTGACGTCCCATTTGCAGAACAGCTTTTGATCTAGCGAAGGCCTCTGCTAATGTAAGAAATTGGGGAGACTTTCCATGCCATTCTGTATGGTTCCCCCCGCCAACCCTGAAACACATTTGGGGGGTGTACAGGAGTAGCTGCTGCTGAACTGGTGACTCAACAAATATCTCTCACACACACCTTCTCTTACATTAATGGACACCTCCGCTCTTTCAAAAGTTGTTTCAGAAATCAGTGGAGCCATAACATTAGATTTTACCTGTTGTCCAGACATCTGCTTCCATCAGAAACCAGAAACCTCCTCCATCTGAAGACATGACCCGGAAGCTGTACGCCGGCTCCCTTGGCCAATAAAGTGAGATGAGCGCCGCAACCCCAGAGTCGGCCACGACTGGACCTAATGGTCAGGGGTCCCTTTACCTTTTTAAGTTTGTTTTTGGTATGAGCTTTTGTGTGCATGCACACTTCTTCAGATACTTCTGAATAAGTGTGCATGCACATGAAAGCTCATACCAATAACAAACTTATTTGGTCTCTAAGGTGCTACTGGAAGGATTTTTTTTATTTTGTTTCGACTACAGCAGACCAACACGGCTACCTACCTGTAACTAGCATGCAAAGGGTGAGGAAGAATGATGAAATTGAGTGAACAAGGGAAGAGAAGTAATGACAGCAGGTGGGTGTAATTCACATCTAGGAAAGGTAAGTGTGTAGGGATGTGAGAAACTGCCTTCTACAAACCTCCTCTGAAGAGAGAACTTCAGAGCATTCCTTTGCTGGACTAGGGTGGATGAGGGCATTCCCACCAGATTTCCCGAGTCACCACTGAGTCAGTTCTGTCACATTGCTCCCATTTTCTCTCTGTGCTTGAGAGCTTTTATTCATTTATTGTTCCTTTGACTCCTTCCCTTTCACAAATAAATACCTTGTCATCACAAGAGGCTGAAACAACAGTTGCAGGTGGTTTTGTAAAACGGCTGGTGTCCCCATTCCACCTCCATTCACACACATAGACTGATCCTGCGTGTACGGCTTTCACTTAGCAGTGGTCATTATGGGGACTCACCCAGCTGATGTCTGTCTTATAAATGTTCCAGATAGTCGCCCACCAAAGCCAAAGCAGTTTGTTCCAGGAAACCAAGACCAGGAAGCACCATAATTCTTAAAGATATGGCACTTAATCATACACTTCAGGGATTGGAAATACCAACTCAAGATGGGATATTAAGTGGAGTTTCTGCACAAGGGAGCCATGCATGTTTAACTTGAGTCATCTAGTCCGCATTAGTATTGTGGCCCTATTTAATTAATTCATGTACACAGACTTTCTTCAGAGAATCTCAGAGCTATTATTTTTTTAAAATGGCAAAGTTATTTCACCTCTATCACTGATACAATCTGAGCAGAGGCATTTCCACAAAGAAAACGGAAAAAAGAAAGATGCAGAAAACCTCAAAAAACACACTTTGTGACCAGCTGCTGCAACATCAGGTCATGCTATTTAACAGAACAGTATTTTACACTCCTAAAAAAGACATTGCTGGACACTGGGAATGTGAATTAATAGCTAGTGTGACTCCATTTACTTCATTGTGATAGAATTCATTTTACTTTGCAACATAGCAAGGAGGGGGTGGAATCCTACAGAACGGTTTAGTACATTCTTATTCTCAGATATTATTTTATTTTGGATCACATTGTGTTAAATGATGAAAGAGTACAGCAGGTACAAATGTCAATTAAGGAATCTAAGCAGGGCCAGATTAACTATTATGCTGAACCTCAAAGAGCATTGCGCCAGCCCCGTTGGGATTCTGAATTTTTATATTTACAGTTCTATTAGAAAGTGGGCCTCTTTTGCTCTCTGCGCTCTGCAGCTCAGAACCTGTGGATGTTGCCATAGCTACCTGACAGTGGAACAGTGGCCAGTGCAAGCCTTGGATATTTTTGTACTTGTAAGAAAAAAGTCATGTGTGTTGCACACACTTAGATACTAGTCCAAAACGTGGAAATGGAGGAAGGAAAATGGCAAACTTTCTGGAACAAATGTGTTAATCAAACTGCGCTGCTTGAATTCCCTCCCCCTTAATTTTGATGAGCTTCTTGTCAGACCACAGCTATATGTGCTGAAAAATAATTTTCTGAAACCGTTTAACAAAATTTTATTTAAAGGGGGAGGCTGACATCACACCTGAATGGCCAACCTTATGGGATTTTGTAACCAACAGCAATATCTGGGCAACAGAGGTACTTTTTGTATCTGCGTAAGAGTTTGCAACTCCAATGTTTAGTCCGTGAGTTGCACCTAACCTAGGCTTGCAGAATTGTGGCCCAGTAAACTGAGCACAGAGCCATGCAAGGCACTGATAAACCTATAGATTTTACTTCACAAACCAGAGAGGTCATCAAGCACATGACATGCCCATTGGATGCATTAAACCTTGCTTAATTGAAGCAGACCCTCCAAGTGTCCCTGTTTTCCAGGGACAGTCCTGGATTTACAGAAGCCACTCTGGTTTCTGATTTGATCCCAGAATGTCCCACTTTTCTTTAGGACATCCCTATTTTTATCAAAGAAATGTTGGAGGGTATGGAGGTATACAACGCCTGAGCCAAGGAGATAAGTATACAACCTGTAGAAGGCATCCCTGTATAGGGAAGTTTTTTTAAATGCTTAATGTCTTATTATGCTTTTATATATGTTGGAAGCTGCCCAGAGTGGCTGGGGAAAACTCAGCCAGATGGGTGGGATTTATTATTATTATTATTATTATTCATCGGAAAAATGTTGGAGGGGATGTGAGGCCCTTTTAAATGTTTTGTTTGCTTAATGTAATATGAAGAAGCTTACCATACAAATGTGTAGTTTTAAAGGCCCTTTTCTTATGAAAAGTAATTAAGTTTAAACAATTCATGGGGGCGGGGAGAAGAGTCAAACTCCGACCCACCCTGAGGCTGTGCCTGTACAAGCTCTCCCACTGCCGCTCATCACAGGAGCTGGCCTGTGCAGATTCCTGCTCTCGCTCTCTATGACCCACCCTGTGCCCCCACAAAAACTCTCTCTCTCAAATGCCTCCTCCTGGACCCACCCCACCCTCTGCCCGTGTCATGTGATAGCTTGCTCCTGCTCTACTCCTTCAATGGACCACACAAACTTCCACTCATCCTCTCTCACTCTCCTCCTCCCCCCCCCGGTCACTGGAGCTCCCCTCCAGATCCTCCAAGTGCCCCTGTTTTCAAGGGATAGTTTCAGATTTACAGAAGCTGTCCCAGGTTCTGATTCGATCCCAGAACATCCTGCTTTTCATCAGAGAAATGTTGGAGGATCCAGAACCAGAGCAGCGCACGGAAATGCCGTTTACCTTCCCGCCAGAGGGGTACCTATTTATTTACTTGCACTTTGACTTGCTTTCGAACTGCTAGGTTGGCAGGAGCAGGGACCGAGCAACGGGAGCTCACCCCGTCGTGAGGATTTGAACCACCGACCTTCTGATCGGCAAGTCCTAGGCTCTGTGGTTTAACCCACAGCGCCACCCGCGTCCCTAATAACAAACTTAGTTGGTCTCTAAGGTGCTACTGGAGGGAATTTTTTAATTTTCTATGCATGCTGTTATTTTGCCTCTACTTCCAACCTTTTCAACCAGCAACACTCGCTCTCTTCTTTAATATCCCACCTCCTCAGCTAGGTGTGTTAACTATTACTCCAAGGGTGGATTGGAGTGGGGAGGTAGAGGACATCCATACCGCACTCATCAATGAGGTGTTTCCTGTGTCACTTCTGGGTTTGTAGCTACCATCTCCGAATGAGCTGCAAAGATTCTTAGACTAAGTGTCGGTGACAATGATGGAAGATCAGCTGGGTTTGAGTATCACTCATATTTCAGTACTATGGCTATAGTGACTTGCAAGAAACACTCGACTGTTAATTGATAAATAACATACTATAGCTAGAGTGGTCTCATTCAAATGGAATGCTAGGCCAAACTGTGGCTTAGTATGAACCAGCAAGTGTTCTGGTGCACAGTGAGAACATCATCCCAAGTTAATATCACTCCTTAATTCAGGTAATTTAGACTAGCATTGCTGTAGTTTTTTGAAGTAAAGGAAAGTATGACCCGAAAACCTGGTTGCAGTCCACAGCAGTCCATTATGAAATGGAGAGTCCCTCCATTAATATCCATCCAGTCAGTACCCCGGCTGCTGTTTCCCTAGAGCCACAGAGGTCAGAAAAGCTACTTGCAATATCTATTTTTCTTGATTCTTCAGCCTACTGTGAAGATGATTTTTAAAATCCAAAGGAAGACAAAATGTTTTCCAAGCTATTGGCAGTGATGATGAGGCTTGGCAAGGAGCCTGAAGGCTCTACGCAGACGGACAATTCATCCAAATTCCACAATGAGAGGTTGATGTGGGAAAGCATAGCTTAATAAAAAGGACTTATATAAGACACAGGGATCACTTTAGGCTTTTGCATCTAAATAGAGGAGGCACTATGGATGGAAGAATGATTGACAGCCAGCTGTGTATTCCCCCCACCCCTGGTGTAAAGCAAAGCAATTTTTGGTACAGCAAACCATATTTTTCCATTTCAAAAGTAATAGGCTCAGATTACTCTGTGCATGGCATGGTAAATGCGTTGCCTTTGCTGATGGATTATTGCCTTTCATCTGTTAAATAATTTTTGTTTTAGTATTATTTTATTGCATATTCATTGTAAAGCTGCAAGCCTGTGCACAATAACCTGGGAGTGAACACTGTTGAACAAAGTAGGCCCCACATCTGAGTAAAAATGCATAGAACTGCACCACAGCAATGTAACGCTACACTTGTCCACTCAGAAATAAGTCCTGTTCAGTTTAGTGACACGTACTTCTAGGTCAGTACTTACAGGATTGTAGCCAAATGTTGCTTCCAAATGACCTGTTTATTGAGCACTCATCCTGACTTTTTTTTGCAGGGAGATTAGACAATGCCATCTATTGAGCAATCTATCTGAATTGTTAGTGGAGAGGTTAGATGCTGTTGCATCGAGCAGTTGTGTGATAAATTGCACTTACAATTTCCCCATCACTTCTTCAAAAAGCTGTTCTTCAAATAGTCCACTCTTAGGGGGAAGTGTGTTTGTTGTTCAACACTTCCACATCAGCTTTAATTATGCAACCTGAATAATATCTTCCTATATTACAAAAAATGTAAGGCTATCATCATGCTGTAGTTCATGTGGCTGCCAATAGGAGGCCACACCAACTACAGTGTGATGACAGAAATGCAGGCAAGCAAGCAAACAGTGGAGGGGGGGCAGGTGGCCCAAGCAAGCTGCTTAATGGGGGGGGGCACTTCAGAGAACGGTTTGCCAAACTGCTCTCTGACATGTATCCCCCTCCTTGAAATGCAGGTGGGGCTTCAGTTGAGCTGTGAGGGGAGGTGTCTGGGGTAAGCTGTGAGGAGAGGCAGCAGGTTTGGGTGAGCTGTGAGGGGATCTGTGAGGGAATGGATGTGAAGAAAGGGAGGTTGGCAAAGGGGTTGGTGGGTTGGTGGAGTTGATAGGTGGCAGCCCCTAGAATATTTATATATAAATGATAGGTGTTTTGTACATTTTTTAAAATGGTATGATGTATTTGTGTTTATGTCTTTAAAAGTGTTGTATGTAACTTGAAGACGTTTGGGTAACAAGCGACTAAGTAACAAGTAAATAAAGTAATTTTAACTATTTCTATTTGGGTCAAATTAGAGATTCAAGAGGGACCTGTGGCCCTCCCAGCCAGCACAGCAGGTGGTCAGGAAGTGGTTGTCCACAATCTTGGGAGGGCCACAGGCTCCCCATCTCTTGTGTCTTCTGCTTACTTAGTATGTGGATAGTGTCATTATATAGATTAGCCACTAGACGGCAGTGGGCTTAGTTGCGCCTGGGCAGAGTCAGGAGTTTCCTGAGCGTCTTCTATTCTTACTTAAGAGAACTAAAGTTATGGTCTAGTTCCCTGGCAGGTGTGTCCTCTACATTTTTCATGACTGCAAGCCCTTGAACAAGGACTTCTGTAGAAAGTGCTTTGTTGTTCCTGATGGTGGTGATATCCCCGTTTGGCTCAAAGGCCCCCCAAGTGGTGAACACCATATTAAAGCTAAAATATACACTAAACTACAATAAAAATGACTTCCCTCAGTCTAGCACATCAAAGATGGAAAGGACTAAAACTGCTAAATTAATTTATGAAACATTTTTTTAAAAAATAAAATAAAATCTCAGGTATAAATTCTCACAGTTTGAGTTCCCAGAATTCCCTGATCATCCAAAACTCTTTCTTTGTAGCTGTTTTGTTAACTTAGTACGGTATGTCAGTAACCTTTGTCAATGTAACTGCATGCTTTTCAAATCCTTGCTTTCCACAGCTTTAGATGTTGCATGTTTAGTTATTGTATGCTTGTTCTTTTTAACCAAGCTGCACAATTACTGCTTTATTTCCCAGTCCACCAAAATATTTGACTACATCAATTTCCTTTTGATACCTATTTCTACCCTTTTTAACCTCTAGTTCTGTGAGTATTTCAAAGCCATTGGGTCTATTTCAAAGAATCCTTTTGAACTCGAGCGTAGTTATTTTCTTTGTTATCATTTCAAAGGATCCACCTTCCCCCTGAGTTTTAGGAAATATAATTTTATTACTGTCTGGACTTGCTACCTCACAGAGCTTCCCTCTCCGAAAAACATTTTCTTCACAGCATGTTTTTTAGGAAGAATATATCTCACAGATAACCAGGATTGCCAACTGACCAGAAAAAAACACCACAGTTGAGCCTGTTCTTGTGCCTTTAACTGCAGATTGATCTACAAAAAATCAGAAAGTCAAGTTTTTTACAGCACAGAGGCAAAAAATTACTACCTGCAAATGAAGATGCTACTGCCACAGCATCTGACTGAAAGTGGCAAGCCTACAGATAACACACACACCAACATTTAACAAAGAAAGAATTGGACTTTTCTGTCAAAACGTAATTTGATTAGGTTACTGAAAGTCTTTATTTCAGGGATGAGGAACCTGTGGCCTTCAAATGTTGTTGGATTCCAGCTCTTATTAGCCCCAGCCAGTATGGCCAATGGTCAGTGACAATGGGAGTTGTAATCCAATCAATAACTATTGGAAAGCAATATATTCTGCACCTGCAGTTTATCTACTTGATGAAATTATTTGGTTTCATATGGAAGCTCATTTGCCTTCAGGCCTCCTCTGAAAGAATCATGGTCTGGCAAAGATAACAGAGAATTCTCATAGTGGAACTACAATTCCCAGAGTTCCCTAGAAAGAGGAAATGCTGTTGAACCAGTTGATATGTATAGTATAGATGCCACAGTAGCCACACAATGTTGTGAGATCCAGGGCCAGTGTCAAGTTGCAGCTTGCTTATTGATTCATCAAAAACAATCCCAATTAAAGTGACTTGAACCCAACTACTCTGGTTTGACTGGATAGTGAGCTATTCAGTTCCCCCGAGAAAATGTGAAATGAGGCTAATTCTGTGGCAGTATCCACCCCACATCAAACACTGGGGAAGCTGCAATAGCTGAAGGGGGCCTGTCTGGAGCAATTGGCGAAATGTAAATATGCTTTCCAAAATCACAAGTTGACATATTAACAGTGTGACATTGAAACAGCTCTTTGATTAAATTCTGACCTCTGGAAGCTACAACACCTTTGCTTCACCCAGCCTGCCTTTATGACCACACAAATTCCTATACCAACACCTTGCTTTTTTCTAAGACCATGTAGCACCTTAGCTGCAGAGGATAACTTGACAGGACTGGGAGTGTAGCTTTCTTTTATGGATGTACTGCACTGTAACACAACCACCTTATAATGTCAAAAATTGCCATAGTAACGGCTCATTTCATGTTGACTAGGGGGATAAAAATTCACACAACATACATACACAGTAACTTTCTGGCATATAGCTACAGGCTAGCCCATGGCACCTTTTACTCAGGGCAGCCTCCCCCTCTCCCTCTTCCAACGTGTGTGGGCTTGTCAGGTGTATTGCCTCCTAATTTTGCACTTGAATGGCTGATGAAACAGAAAAGGAAGTCTTCAAGCTGCTTGGTGTATTTATTAATAAATCTTGCCTTTCTGTCCATTGAGTGCTGCTTACTAGGAGGGGCAAGGTGGTGGGGAGGCAGGTGTGGTGCAAATGCACTAACAGGAGTGTGGGATTCGGTCCACTGGTGCATTGCTCCACGCCAACCTCCCTACCACCTTGCCCCTTCCAGTAACTTTTCTCAATTAAATATGAGATGTTTAGGATTTTCCATTGAGTCACAGCATATTTACTTGCACCTGTGGTTCTGTCTGTCCTTTCTGAAGCTGCAACTTGCAGCATGCATTGGGTCTTCTTTTGTACAAACTATGCTGTAAAAACACAAGCTATCTCTGAGCAGATCTGCAGAGACGCAGCAGCTAATCTTACAGCCGTGTCAGAAAAAGGCAGCTTGGAAGACAATCACCCCCTTAACTGCAACCTTTCATACATGCTTCCTCCATCAAGACTATTTTTAAGTGAGGCAAAACCAAAGGCTTTATTGATTCTTGTGCTTTCCATTGAAATATTACTTTAAAGCCCTCGGCAGAGTGTTATGAAATAGTCCCAAAGGAAAGGTCATGTTGGGTGTGTGCATGCAGGAATACCAAGTGTGCATCTTCAAGGAAAAGGGCGGCTTAATCCCACCTCAATCCCCTCAGTTTTCAAAGTGTTACTTTTGGCAGAAGTTGGTTATGTAAGGAGTAAAAGGTTTTAGGATACCAGCCTGTGAAATGCAAGGGCTTAGCATTACTCACATGTGGTGCTTTATGTGACTATAGAGGGCTCTGAGATGTCAGTACACTCCCATATCCTCTGACATTTCTCCAATGAAAATAGGGACATACTATTCTATTATTATTATTATTATTATTATTATTATTATACCCCACCCATCCCAATGGGTTGCCCCAGCTGCACTGGGTGGCTTTTAACATAGATAAAAATATAATAAAACACTGAACATTTTAAAACTTCCCTATACAGGGCTGCCTTCAGATATCTTCTAAAGGCTGTATAGTTACTTAACTTCTTGGCTTGGGGGGTCACATAATTCCATACCCTCCAACATTTATCCGATGAAAATAGGGACGTCCTACCAGTTGGCCTAAGGGACACGGGCGGCGCTGTGGTCTAAACCACAGAGCCTAGGGCTTGCCGATCAGAAGGCGGTAGTTCAAATCCCCGCGACGGGGTGAGCTCCCATGGCTTGGTCCCTGCTCCTGCCAACCTAGCAGTTCGAAAGCACATCAAACTGCAAGTAGATAAATAGATACTTCTCCGGCGGGAAGGTAAACGGCGTTTCCGTGCACTGCTCTGGTTCGCCAGAAGTGGCTTAGTCCTGCTGGCCACATGACCAGGAAGCTGTCTGTGGACGAATGCCGGCTCCCTCGGCCTATAGAGCAAGATGAGCTCACAACCCCAGAGTCAGCCGCAATGGTCAGGGGTACCTTTACCTTACCAGTTGGCCTAGGCCAGTTAGCCCCAGGTCCCAGAGTTCATTTTTTGCATTCCAGACCATTTTATGCAGTTTCTCTTGAGTCCTCAGTATTTGATGAACATGAAATCTTTCCACATTCATTTCTGTAGAGCAAATTTACAGTCCAAATTTGTCCTGTGTTTAAACAAAAACATTGACTTAAAGGCAATTATTTTATATTTGCACTAGAATGCCCTAAGTCCAGTTCTGGCCATGTGCTACTTATTGTGTGGACCTGTCTATGAAATGGGCTAATAATGTGGTTTGTAGGGTAGTAAACAGAAGTATCTATGCTTTATTCGCAAAAGATCTGTGGGAAAGTGTTAAAAATTATTGCCAAATCTCTTCTGCATACTAGCTCTATGGAATTCTTAACAAACAAAAAAGAGCTAAAAAGCAGACATTATACCATAGTCAAAAAATTTAAAGGCTTAAGAGCTCTGTCTTTTTTGAGCCAGAGGATAAAATATCAGAAGCAGCCACTTCATTGTGTTCATTGCATGCTAGCCCTTTAAAGTCCCCCAGGTTCCCCTTGGCTCCAAAGTATATTGAAAATGAGAATGCCCAAGCATTAACCATCTCATGACCATTGCCTTCATGACTGGGAAGAAACAGCAGCATGGTTTTTTCCTGTGCATGTAGGAATCTTAGCAGCATACCTGCATTGTATATACTTAAGTCCCCACAGAGTTTCAAACACCTGGTCAAAACTTATTTATTTCAGGAGGCCATTGCACTCCAAATGCTTCTCAGATGTTTCACTTTTTTTAAAAAAAAGTTAAAAAGTCTTGAGGTTTTAAATTATGGGGGTTTATGTTTTAAATTTTGCATATTGTCTACTTTATTGTTGTAAGCCACTGATACCAACATGGTGAAAATCAGGATAAACGTGTTTTAATACACCTTTTCTATTTGAATGTTCAAAGTGTTTTAAACAATCATCTCAGCAAACCTTTGCAATAGTGTTGTTCTTTATTTTTCTAACTTAACATGGAAGCTGGTCTGCTTTTAAACCACAAAGGATTTACTTTTAGGCTCCAAGAAGCACTCAGTGGCTGACCCCCCCCCCCCCATTTTTGTAAATGTAAAAATCCAGCAGTTACTCTGTCTCCAGCCTTTCCTTAAGTGAAAAACACAGGTTCCTTGTTAGGTAAAGAGCAGAAGTAATGACAAACACTGCCATTTTTATATGAGCAAAGCTGGAGATATAATTTTAGGTCGTGTACTAGGTAAAGAAGTCAATTCAAGCCAAGTGGGATAGCATTATCCAGTGACTGGAGGAAATGCAACCCTCAAAATTGCTGTTGTTAATAATTCCAGATACACCACAGAGCTACCTTCCCTCTGAGGCGGCTGACTGGAAGGAAGCAATTCCAGAATCTCACTGAAATAAGCCTAACATGACTCAGCACAAAATTTCATTTTTTACAACCATCCTGTATAGCAGAGATGGGGAACCTGTGGCACCAAACCAGAAGCAAACTCAGCTGTGGAAGGGGCTTTGCAAAAAGCAATAACCCAGCATGGGTGAAGCGAAACACCACTCTCTTCTATCAGCTGATGACCCTTTGCAAGCCCCCCTCCCCCACTTCACAATATCTAGACAAATGTGGATTTGGGAGTACCTTGAGCAGGGGGAAATGTCTGTGTTATCTGGACATTTATTTATTTTTTTCTTTGCAAACATTTGTCAAAAAATAAAAATATGTAAGCATGCAACCTTTACAACAGTGATTACAGTACTGAATATTCCACCCCACTTCATTCATATAATCCATTTGCTAATTCAGCATTTCTTTTCAAAGTCTGAGGATATGTGAAAACAACTTTTCACAATTTCATTTGTTGACCAGATCCTGAGGGAAATTCACACAATGCTCACAGAGAACCAGATATGCACTAGATAACTTTAACATCTGGCATTTCTATCATCAGTTTTCATGCAGACTGTCCATAAAAAATAATTGACTCTTATTGATTCCCCAGCAGTTGGAACCACATTGAGAAGGTAAAAGCTATCACAGATTGGTGGTCTCCTAAAATGACCTGATATTGTGAAAAGGACAAATACCGGTACCTTTGTATAAAACAACTGCTATAAAATCCTTCAAGGAAGTGAATTTGCTGTGGGGTTAAACCAGGCATAATGTTGATGAAATGCTGAGCAAGATTTTGGGGAAAATGTCTTGCTTGGCTGTATCTGAAAGAAAGAACTGCATGCTCTTTTCACATTCCTACATGGGGTAAACACCACCATTATTATCGATCTAGTCAAGAGAGGCATAATACTAAAACAGTTCTTGCATTCATTGACTGTATAATGTTCTTACATCAGATGAGCGGAAGGGATGTGTTATTTCATTCATAAATACTTGCATGCCGTTGTCACAGTTGAAGTGATTCCCCAGAGAGGTAAATAGTTTCTCTACCATACTATAGGCAAATATTCTGATAGCTCAGTGTCTTTAAGAGTCAATAGCGAAGTACTCCAACGCATCACATTTTTTTAAGTTCTGAAAAACTACCTCTATTTAAATCCCATTAAATAAATATACTGTGGATTTAGTGCCTGCCTACTTAAATCAGTAGGATTGCAACATTTCCATTCAAGCAAGTTTGCTGCTCCAACACTTCCTCTTGCTTCCTAGAATCAAATATTCATCTTGAAGCGGACAGGAAATATATCAGACTGCCTCTGATATGCCAGTCCCCTTTCTATGTAGCCAAGGGAGGAAATGACTGAACATCATGAAAAAGAGATCTGAGCTCACAGGCCTTCAACGGTGACTGATGAAGAATCCTCCAGAGCAACTGAAGGACGCTCCCTTTCATCGGTATCACAGTTGCTGGGTGGAAGGCTTATAGTGTTGGGCTCACATGGGCAACAGCCAACTCCTCCTTTCCGGCTGTTTGGCCGATTCCGAAGGGAGGCGTGGAAGTCTAATGATAACACTATTAGACGGTATAGTTGTAGCATCACAATTAAGATATTCTTAGCTGTGAAAAAGACCAGCATCTGGTTAATGACTTGGAAATAGCCCATCAGTATCAAGCGCACCACGAGGAAAGGGCCATCTTGAATGAACAAGCTGATGCCAATGTTCCATAGGTCTGCACTGTATCTGCAAAGAAGCAAACTGAAGACCCTCTTTGAGGAGCCTGGGCGACCGCAGCCAACATGTTGCACTACAAACAAGGAAGACCATTGTTATTATTACAGTAACATCAAGTGAAGCATCGTATGAAGTCCTCATGATCGTTCACCGGCATTTTCATGCAAATTTTCTGACTAAACTTGTATGCAATTTTGCTTAATATACACATTTTTGCAAAGCTAGGTTACCTAATAAAATGATTTTTTTGTGTTTTGTTTTCACTAATATATTAGTATTACTTTTCAAAACTGGAGAACTGATTGGAAAATTCAGAGAAGTGTGAATTTTTAAGGGTGGCAGAGTTTCAACTAGTGTGTTGTTTTGGAAGTGTGACTTAGGTTGGTTCACCTTTAAATGAGAACTGAACTGAATTTCTCCTACATCCAAAGCTTTCATTCACAGAAGTGAGATTACATGAGCCAGCAGTTTATGATCTCAGGTGTGGCAACTTCTGTGATTTGCTATCTACAGTGTAGAACTGCTGGTATGCTTTCACTCCCATGTTACATTTCACATGTAAATGCCAGTGTACTTCTGGGATCTGCAGAAATCCACTTTAGTGCCACATGTGAACTTTGCCATCTCGGCTAAGTGATTGCTTCTTGTAAAGGGCTTTCGACAGATGTCAGCAACCCAGAGCTTTTCACGAGACAAGAAGGCAGTTGTTCCCATTGGCTTATGTTACTTTTAAGGAAGTCAGAGTGGCGTAAGCTTCTGGTGGGAGAAGTTAGTCCTTGCTAATCAGGGTTTCAATGGAGAGGGTTTTTTTCTTTATTTGGTGGCATGTAGGATAACCCCCTCCTTAACTCTTGAGTTAAATCCTTGGAATTTGTTACTGTCCCTCACCCGCAAGATCCAGGGGGAACTGCAGCATGCTCCAAGTCCATACGGCTAGGATTGCATACACGACAGCGCGGTTGGTCCTAAAATGAACAAAAATGAATGACATACATTTAAAAAGCAATCCCTCCAAAGCATATGGAATGCCATCATATTAAAATGCAACCAAGTCCAGCTCATGGGGCTGGGAACTTCTTAGGACCCCTCATTTGTGAGAAAATTCATGGAATCCATTCCAGGTATAGAAATAATGTTAAGGATATTTTACAAGACCAAAGACTAATTTTCCCAGTTATTAACCAAAACATACTATAAAACAATCCAGCCTGAAAACAAGACATCCAATTAAGGTTTTTTTAAAAAATAAATAAATCCAAGCTTCCGTGTGTGTTGGCAGGACCCATTAGCAAAACTGCAGCCCAAGAGTTTGTGAATTTTATGGCATTCTAGCATGGTTACAGTAATGTCTCCCAGACACTTATGCTCAGAACCTCAAGATGAGGAATGACCAAATAATATCCCATGGGCAGCATCCAGCTTCTGGCCTGTATCCTCCTGCCTAGTGCAAAGTGAAAATATAGCTCAGAAACTAATTAGATATGGGGAACCTGTGAGGTGGTGATAAGGCAGTCAGCGGTATGTGCAGGGGACAAAGCATGTTCTATATAGGTCAGGGCCTGGGATTCCTGAACAAAGGTATAATTCCCCTAATGGTCTCTTATAGCAGACTCCTATGCATGTCTGCTCAGAAGTAAGTTTCATTGAATTAAACGGGGATTGCTTCTGAATAACTTGCATAGGATTGAGCTATCAGCAAGCTCTTGGGAGCTGCTCTGTTTTGCATTTTCCCTTACACTGGGGCATCTCAGTCCTAGAGGCACATGTAGTGTCTGTTGCAATTTATTAAAATATTTGCACCCCTCCCCTTTTATCAAGCAACAAAAATGCAATAAAGTGCAAAACCAAAAGGACAATAGAGACAACAATCAAAGAACAAATGAAACTATGATATAACAGCAATTAAATTAGTTCTGTAGCTATCTTAGATACTAGCAGCAGTTTCAAATACGTAGTATCAAATACCCAACTGTGAAATAATGTTTTTAACTAGTGCCCCAAACTCTCCTTGTCTTGAATGTGTCCTTGAGCCAGCCTACGCATTAGGCAATGATGTAGCAGCTGATTACTGCTTGGAAGTACTATTATGCATGTTACAGTGAATGTTCAAAATCAGGAGAATTACTGCATGCAAATATTGCCAAACCCAAATATGTTTTGTGTATGCCTAAAAATTGATCCCTGCTTTGGGAAATCCGTGAGTGAGTGCTGACAATAGGTGGCTATCAACATTCCCTGTCTATGACGGGTGCACCCCTGAGATTCCTTATCTTTGTAACATTTCTCTGGGATTGACAGCATTCACATGTGAACGTTTTCATTTGCATAATTTCAGATATTTGCTGAATCCGGAATGCTGTAAACCATTGTAATTCAGCAATTCTGGAATGAGACATTTTGCTTAGAAGCAGTACTGCTGAAAAAGGCAGAAAAACGCCGTGTCTAAGAGCCTTTCATATTTAATCAACAGGAAACAAGTTTGTTCCATTACCCTTTGCAGATGTCATTGCTGTGTGCTACAGTATTCCCCCATTCCCACTTCTGCTGTCTGCAGGTACTGATCAGAAGCTAATGACTGAATCTCTATGTAATGCAGATGTTGCATTAGTCTAACATAGGTAAATGGGCAGAGAGACAGAGAAATACACTATCTGTGTTATCCCTCCATGCACCTAGTAATGTAGGTAAAAAGGTAAAGGGACCCCTGACCATTAGGTCCAGTTGTGGCTGACTCTGGGGTTGCGGCACTCATCTCGCTTTACTGGCCGAGGGAGCCAGTGTACAGCTTCCGGGTCATGTGGCCAGCATGACTAAGCTGCTTCTGGCAAACCAGAGCAGTGCACGGAAATGCCGTTTACCTTCCCGCCAGAGCGGTACCTATTTATCTACTTGCACTTTGACATGCTTTTGAACTGCTAGGTTGGCAGGAGCAGGGACCGAGCAATGGGAGCTCACCCCGTCGCGGGGATTCGAACCGCCGACCTTCTGATCAGCAAGTCCTAGGATCTGTGGTTTAACCCACAGCGCCAACCGCGTCCCAGTAATGTAGGTATTGCCTCTGAAATCTCATACCACAATAAATTAGCTACAGCTAAATCCCATTGAAAGCAAAGGAAGAAGTCAGTTGAGATTAGCTTTTGTAGCATTGCTGTTCAGTAGAACTCAGGAATGCCTAACTTTCTTTTATTGTTATTTAGCTGGATGCCTTTCATTTGCAAAGTGATACAGAACACTGCAGTTCTTAAATTCACAATCCTACTTGGACAAAAATTGCATCTTCCTATTTATCTGAAGAACATCCAGACTTTTCAGGTGAAGTTCTTCAGGGACTGACACGACCAAGGCCTCCAAAATAATTGGTGTCCTAGCAAATTACCTACCTCACGTTCTCAATTTCCATGGTCTCACTTGTGAATTCAAGTATGTCTGCTGCAGTACCCACAAACATAAGAAGGAGCTGCGACAACTGGTCCCGGGTGATTTCACCCCCAATGGGAAGAAGCCATCTCCCAATGATAAGCAGCAGTAGAAAGGTCTGGTGGAGACCTAGCATCCAAACTGACTCACACACAGCGGAGATTGTGTTGACAAATTCTATGGCCTGTTGCAAAGAGCCATAAAAACAAGAATCAACATAGGAACTGTGGGAAATATGAACAGATACAGGAGTAGGGATGCGTGATTTGGTCAATTCCTGTCTCTCATTAGTCCAATCTTAATTACAATTCTCCACATTTCCACATTTTAAATCCTCCCCCCAAATACCAGTATTTTGGTGTGAATACATATTTTTGTATGCAATTTTGCTTAGAATATACATTTTTGTAAAGAAATTTTCCCCAATAATGATGCCTTTAATATGTTATTTTTCTTACTAGATGCATTTAGATGCACAACTAACCCTGATATCACTGGATGGAACAAGGTTTTTAGTTGTAACTGCTTTAAGAATGTTTTCAACCTTAATTGCTTTTAGAAAGTTTTAACTCATTTAGAATATTTCTGTTTTGTGGGTCTTTTTGCCACCCTGGGTTCCTTGGGGAGTATGTACAAATTACTTGGCTCAGGAACTACATTGCAAAATTCGATGAAGTGCAAATTTTGAAGGACAGCTGTGTTTCATTTCCAATATTGTGCTAATTAGGTAGGTTTGCCTTTAAATGTGAACTGGATCAGATTTCTTCCTCATCCCTATACCTGAAGCAGGATAGACGGTTTTCAGCACTTCTAAAAAACCCGATATTTTGGAATCATCTGAACATTCAGCAAAAGCTATCCAAAGGAAGCTGGGTGGTGTTCTGCCACTAGAGGCCAATTCACATGACTGTTCAGTGCATGGTAGGTGTGGAAGATGAGATCAGTTCATGTCGCCCTGGCCTCATGACAATCTGAATGTAAGATGGACTGGCTTTTGACAGTTGCATGAAGTCTGACAGTGCACGAAGGTGCCTTGTACTGAGTCCATAGGCCCAGCTACCTCAGTATCATCTGCTCTGACCAAGAATGGCTGCTTAAGGTCTCAGGTTGGGGTCTTTCTCAGTGATGCTGAAATCCCAGGAAAAGAACTTGACATTTGCTCCACCACTAAGAGTTGGGGTACCTATAGCCCTCCAGAAATTTTAGGACTACAGCTCCTATCTTCCCATGGACCAGTGACCTGCCTTAGTATAAAGCAGCTTCCTATATTCCTAATCCTGCTTTTTCAGGGTTCCTGATCGTGTGGAGCTCTGCCTAAATAATATTTATTTATTTATTTATTTATTTATTTATACATACATACATACATACATACATACATACCCCACCCATCTGGCTGGGTTTTCCCAGCCACTCTGGGCGGCTTCCAAGAAAATATTAAAATACAATAATCTGTTAAACATTAAAAGCGTCCCTAAACAGGGCTGCCTTTAGATTTGTCTTCTAAAAGTTTGGTAGTTGTTTTTCTCTTTGACATCTGGTGGGAGGGCGTTCCACAGGGCGGGTGACACTACCGAGAAGGCCCTCTACCTGGTTCTCTGTAACTTGGCTTCTCGCAGCGAGGGAACCGCCAAAAGGCCCTCGGCGCTGGACCTCAGTGTCCGGGCAGAACGATGGAGGTGGAGAAGCTCCTTCAGGTATACTGGGCCGAGGCCGTTTAGGGCTTTAAAGGTCAGCACCAACACTTTGAATTGTGCTCGGAAATGTACTGGGAGCCAATGTAGGTCTTTCAAGACCGGTGTTATGTGTTCTCCGCAGCCGCTTCCAGTTCAGTGGCCGCTCCCAGATAGGAAGATACACATAGGAAACATGCTTTTTAGTGTGCAGGGGCAGAATCTGCTCCTAGCCGCTTTTGGCTCATTCACTGCATTTGTGGACATTTGAGGGCTATAAAGGGATATGCATCCTGGCAGCACTTCTTGACTTGGTGCCAGAGGTTTGTGGTTCACAATCCTTGAAATGACCCAGTTTTCTGGACCAAATGCTTTCGGCATTGCTCATTCTGTAATATGGCTTGAATGGAAAGAGATATTTGATTGCTTTCACCTCACCACAAAGTAAAGAATTTAGTTCTTTATGCTGGGGGAAGGGGGGTTGCAAATAAGCCAGCAGCATGTCTAATTACAATAATCTTGGCTAAAGAGGGATATAAAGACAGATATAAGACCCAGCCTAGCCAACTTTGATACACACTTTATTCCATTTTATAATACATATTATAGATAGTGCCTTGATAATGCCAAGGAAGTAATTTGCTAAACCTAGAAATGGATTAATAATGAGAGGAAGCTGTATTGTTATTGCCACAAATGTTGAAGGGGGGAAACCCTAGACCAGGCATGGCCAAACTTGGCCCTCCAGATGTTTTGGGACTACAACTCCCATCATCCCTAGCTAACAGGACCAGTGGTCAGGGATGATGGGAATTGTAGTCCCAAAACATCTGGACGGCCAAGTTTGGCCATGCCTGGTCTAGACCATTTCCACCCAACGCACCAAATGCCATGAGCATAACAAACTGTGCAGGCATTTGGTATTATAATGGCATAGATGGCAAAATTCTTGTTCTGTAATTATTGCAGAAGGAACAGACCAAAACAACAAAGATTTAGCATGGCATTCAGCAATGTTTTACTCAGAGTAGACCCACTGAAATTAACAAGCAAGACAAAGTTAGGTCCATTCATTTCTCCTTTTGCTTGAATACCACCCTTAATCACCAGTTCCAAGGCAGATTCTGGGAGAGGCTAGCAGTTGATACATGTGAATTTAGAAACAGATATTACTTGATTGTTGTGCTTACTCTTTTCCCCAGGATATATTGGACTGGTTTGGAGTTTAAAACTAAACGAGGGTTGGGAGCTCCTGAGTGAGTGGAGCCAATCCCAGCAATGTTGCACTTGAAATTAAATCTAATGTTGAATTCAAGCTCCACTTTCAGTAGGGATCAGCTTGACTCAGGAGCTCAGTTTGGAAGCACCCAAATGGAATCAGTCCCAAAGAAGCTTGCATTTGGTGCAAGATTTAAAAGGCGTTGAATACAAGCCTCACTTTCAAAGGCTAAATCAGGAGCTTTGCAGCTGTGGTTTTACAGAAGGGTGCTTGTGGGGGGAGGGAAGCTTCACAGGGCAATTTAGGACACTTGGGCCATTGGGTGGACATTTCCTGTGTTTGCACTAAACCATAGTTTAGTGTTATGTGAATGAGCCTGGAATCCCCGAGCTTGCTTGTTTCTTCCCTTCCCTCCTTTTCCAGTACAGTCACCAATATGAGTTTAGAGGTTTTCATCTGTTTTTGATGTGCCACAGTTTGCCATCTCACCCATACATCGACAGACTGGAATGCTCTCCCTAGGGAGGTTCATTATAAAACTTTAGGCACCAGGCAAAAACGTTCCTCTTTAACCAGGTCTTTCGTTGATTAGATTCCTGTGCCCTTTTAAAATGTGTTGGGGGGGGGTTATTGGGTTGTTTTTGTTTTTATCTTGATTATGCATTTTGTGGTTTTATATTCTGATTTTATCCTGTGTATTGCCCTGAGACCTGCATATAGGGCAGTATATTATTATTATTATTATTATTATTATTATTATTATTATTAACAACAACAGTAATATAACAAGAATTAGTGGAAACAAGCATACTTCAAACCATTGTTTATGAAGCTGGCTTGTTTTCACTAACCGGAGTTAAGATTAACCACAGTTGAATCACTATGAACTGTGATTAATCTAAAAAGAAGTGGAAGCGTGGTCTCTTTAGGGCCGTACCAGAGGATGAGCATGTGACTTCAAGGGGAGGTTTGGCTCATTCTTGTAATGTTAAACCCTTGAGATATTGCATTTGTGTGACATTATCTGCCACAGCGTCATTGCACAAATTAAGGACACTCTTTTAAAAGTAGGTGTCTTAGAAGACCTCACAACTGATAATAAAACACAATTTGCAGTAGTAGAATTCAAGTTAGTTCAGACACCAACATTTCAAGAATTAAGTAGATGCTGTCATTTCACGAGACCCTGCTTACCGTTCCTATTATGGGACCATCTATGGCCTTGCTTTGATAAGCGGGTTCATATTTTGGAGTGAATGGCCGCATATCCGATTCATTATGGCAAGCCTGCAATAAAAATTCAATTCAGGGGATAAATCAGTCTCTAATTCTGTATAGACATTAATTAAAATAACCCATATTGCTTAACACTGCTGTAATGTGTGGACCCTCCTATACTTTTCAGGTAACATGAGAAACCCCAGAACATGTGGAAAGAGTCCAAATGCCAGCATTGTCCCAGTTTCGAAATGATCCACACTGGGGTAGGAGGAGCAACAGCATAGGCTCTTCCTCCCTCCAGGTTTCTCAGATTGCAGCCAGGAAGGAGCTCATTTGGCACACACATGATGTAAGAAGGGCCCCTGTGAATATCTTCAGAACAGCAACTGACAAACAATATTTTTATTGCATAAAGATTGTGAGGGAAGGCAACGGAGGTAAACAGTGAAAATCATTTGACTGTAGGGCAGCAATCCTTCTGTACCAAAAAAGGATGTGTGGTTGAAAACTGAATTTGACTCTCATTGACTTGTTCATTATTTAACTGGAGGAGACCATTAAAAACATCTAAAGTGGAAAACTGGATGTGGTTTTTTAAAGAGTGGCTGGAGAAACCGGGCCAGATGGGCAGGGTAGAAATAATAAATTATTATTATTATAACCTATCTTCCTAACAATCTCTCATTTCAGGCCAATAAGAAGCTCATTCTGGAATTTTTGACTGAGTTGCAAGCAACAGAATATTTTGTTCCTCTCACATTTCTTCCAAGGAAGAGCAGATGTATGTCTCTTATCTCTCACACCCTTTCACATTTGCATGCAGTATGCTTAGGAAGTAAGGCAGATGTCAAAAGCTGAGAGACTTAGGCTGCAATCCTATGCACACTTTTCTAGAAGTGAGGCCCATTGAGTATTGGAGGCCTTTGCTTCTGATTAAACGTGCAGAACTTTGGGCTTTTAAGTTGTGACCAAGAAGTTTCCGGTTCAGATCTCCGTTCTGCCATAGATTCATTAGGTTAACCTTAAGCAAGCCTCAGTCTCTACTCCTCATCTGCAATAACGGGATAATAAATACTGATCAAATTTACAAGGTGGTTGTAAAGATTAATGATGTAATATATGCACAGCATTATGAACCCTCTGAATGCTGCATACTGAGTTGTTTTATTTTACCAAAGTATCCATTGGTTTTCAGCTGGAAACCTGAAATTTCATTCAGCTGCTCACAGGTGTACCTCACACCACTTTACTAAACACAGATAAGATTGTAAGCTGAACTCAACGGATGAGTGAAGTTAGGGCACTGGGGGCCCCATATTTTGTATATTAAAAGACTGTGAATCCTCTCAAACATAGGAGCCAACCCCCATAAAATATTTGAGGGGTCCCTCCCCCAAAGTTGATGGACATTGCCATTCAAATGGTGTGCATGTGCCATGTCTTGTGATTGATTATGTGGGGCAGGGCTTACCTCCCCCACCCCCCACAAGATTTTATTCAAATTGGCACCCATGATAACAGCCAAGGCTTTAAGGGGAGCCAGGGACTAGGATTGGGCAGGCATGACACCTGCTATACCACCTTGGGTTGAGCAAATGTACTCTCCCATCTGCCTGTCTGTCTCTCTGCCTGCCTGCCTGCCTGCCTGCCTCTCTCTCGCTCTCTCAATCTATCTATCATCTATCTATCTATCTATCTATCTATCATCTATCTATCTATCTATCTCTGAATGAATGTAATTCTGTGATTCTCAAATACTTTGAGACCTGCATCTGCTGATCAACTTCAAACAGGTTTGTGAAAGTACACCTGACTATGTAGACATTTTGATCTTGTTTCAGGAAGAAGATTATTTGATTTCTCTCTCTCTCTCTCTCTCTCTCTCTCTCTCTCTCTCTGCACTCAGACTTCGTTTTCAAGTCAAAACAGGCATTTTGAGGCATGAAGGTCTGTCTCTCCTTGTATCCTCAAAAATGTGCCATGGTTAGGTTTTTAACAAAGCAACATTTAATTTAATCTCCCCTTTATTTCCTTATATATGTAGAACTGCTGCCAGCAGACTGAGATTTTCTGCTACGACAGGGTCAAAGGTAAGCTGCAATTTCAGTGCACATTCTCTTGTCAAGAGGGAATTACAATACATGTTTTATATTTGCTTTGCTTGTAAACTCCAGAGATGAGTGTCAATTGTGTTGCTGGAAGGAGTCCCCGGTTCTCTAGAACTGCCTTTTGTTTAGCCACATATAAGTTGTAGTCATTGTGGACCTCAAACTAGTTATGGCATTAAATGTGTCTTTGCATTTAAAGTAAATTTTAAAAAGGAAAAAACTGACAAGTAACAGTATCAGAACAAACAAGAAGAAAGAAATTAACCAATTCATCTCCTGTTACAATTGTGAGGAAAATTCCTCCTCTAAAGCTAGTGTTCGCCTTGGAAGAAAATTCCCCATTGGTGCGGATTTGCATTCTTAAAAACCTATTGATGCAATCTGACTGTTTAAAAAACCTGCATCCTACTTGCACACATACACACACATTTAATGCCATGCAGTTCTCCCATAGCTATGCAATGAAACACTTGGAATGAAGTCAAGGATGCAATTGCTTTACCAGAAACAAAGCAGTCCTATAATTGCTAGTTACCTCTTGGAACATGTTTTACAATGTGAGAATATATATATATATATATATATATTACAGCTGTGTACATAATGGCCTGGTTTGCACATCACCCTAAGTGAATCTCAGCTTATAGAGAATGTGTAAGCATGTGGGCTCTGGGAAACGTTTGCAACCACTTTGCTCCTCTCTGGCCTTTCAACTGCTGTGCCGCACTGAGCTAAGCCGATGTTTGCCTCACTGTGTCATCTGAAGTTATGGTTAAGCTCTTGCCTTACTAACCATCCTGCTCAGCCCTGCCAACTGCTGCTGAGGAGAGATCTTAACCACAAGTCCCATTTGGATAGCCAGCAAAACCGTGGCTTTGCTCAGCGCAACATGGCAGCAAAAAAAGGACCAAAGAGGTTGCAGATTCATCTCTGGGAGTCTGCACACTCGCATGTTGATGTTACACCATGGTTTGGGTTAGTGTGGTGTGCAAACCTGGCTACCATTAACAAAGAGAAAACTGAACTGTTTGGCCCTCTTCAGATGTTACTCAGGGGGGAGAATTCTCATAGATAGAAGGAGTGAGGTTGTGCTGCTGAGCTAGCCTGCCCCAGGAAGTTCCTGTGCTGAGTGGGAACATCTGAAGAGAAACCTCTATGTACAAGAATAGTTGTGTGTGGCATGGGGCTAGCTCAAACCTGCAGCCTCGCCAGCACAGACCCACTCCAACTTCAACATGGGAGAGCCTTCCATACTTGAAGAGAGCTTAAAGTAGCTGCTTTATTTTATTGAAATGAGATGCTTATTATTCACCTCTCTTGCTCTCTCTCAGTTATGCAGTCGACTTGATTCATTTATGAGGTTATAAAAACGTGGCCTTTTCTTTTTTATTATTAATAATATGACAGATGAATTTTTAAATGTACAATAAATGGACTTTGCATGTGCAATGGAAATATCCCATACCACAATTTTTAGAATAAACCAAACTCCCCCCTCATCTGCAGTAATGCATGAAAAACCAAGCGCTTATCTAAAACAAATGAAGACCATTTTACTTGGGAAAGATTCAGCAATTCTTCCAGCTTTTCTGAATTCAATAAGCTGTAATTTTTTCTATAACTGCCATACCCAACACTCTGTTTAGCCTATTTCTAACATCTGGCATCACTGGAGACTTTCAGAATCTGGATATATATATATAAGCTTCCACTAATGTGTGTTGTACAGAATCTGGTTTTTCCTTTTCAACTGGTATAGCATTTTCTGGCCAATTTTGGCCCCTTTACTGCATACATTTCCAGAAGGCTTTGTAGGGGAAAGTAGCATGAAAAGTGTCCAAGAATAACAATCATTCAATATTGTGTGCTATTACAATACTGTATTTTTGCCTTGATTTCAAAAGATGTTACTCAATAGATGCTGATGTCTTAGAAGATGCTTGCTCTATTGACTTTGATAACTGGTGACCCATATGTACTAAAAGCAGCCCAGTAGCATACCCCTCAACTGTCCTAAATTGAGCATCACATCCTGGAATTAAAGAAGCCATCCCAGCTTCTGATTGGATCCTGGAATGTCCCATATTGTAGTCCGGTGCTCTGGCATGAGACAGCTGGCTCGTGACAATTGACCAGAAGATGCTCTTCTTTTGGTCTTGTGCTCTTGCACGGGTCAGTTAGATCCCATGAGACCTCAAGATCAAAAAACAAACATCCTGATTTTGATCAGTGGGATCTTGGAGGTTACACAAATGTGAAGGCTGGGCACTAATGTCTAGAACAGTGGTGGGTAACTCTTTTCAGGTCAACAACTGCATTGTCATGGTGGGGCAACTTTCAGGGGTCAGCAGACCCATACACAATCATACATCCTTAACATGCACACAGACTCATACACAATCACATACCCATACAAAATCACACAAACAAAGCTATTTCCCATGGAAATAGAGACATAAGTTTAATTCTTAGTACCTCCACTCAAGTTTCACCTTCCATTTTCTCCAGAAAAAAACAAGTTTGTAAAAAACTTTTTAAAAAAATCTGCAGCATCCTATGTCTTTATAACATTATAACATATCAGAGGGGTGTACAGGAAATTAAAATTAAGTATAAGAGATACTGGACAATAATTCAGAATTTCATTCAGAACAGGCTTGGGTAAATTAACTATGCATCTAAAGAGTAGATCGCTGGATCTTGGCGCTCCCCACTGAACAGCTGATCAATGGAGGTCACCCAAAGGGCTGGATGAAATCTAGCTGCAGGCACATCTGGCCTGTCCCCACCCTTGGACCACAAGATGCTTGCTCAGATGCCTTCGATATCTGGCTGTTTTCTTCTGTTCAACCTATAGGCATCTATTCATTACATCACATATTCGTAGAAGTCAGTTGATGCATGCACTTCAGGTTTGCTGAATTAACATATTTCTTAATTCCTCAAGTTTCTTAATCATGTTAGGTTCCTGAACAATTTACAAAAGAGAAGACCAGCTGAACTTGAAAACATTCCATAAAGTAATATATTATATAGCTAGGTCTGCGATTCTAAGCACACCTATTTGGAACTAAATGCCGTTGAATGCATTGGCACAGGTTTCAAAGGAACCATGCCTGTGATATGACTGTAGACAGGGGCCGACTTCGGTATTTCAAATTTCAGTAGCTCCCTGTGCAAGGCCAAAAGTCGGTGGCTCCCTCTCCTACCTCTTGCCTTCCTTTCTGCTCAATTTATTATGTCATAGTTGCAACGCCCTGCAGCACCCCCTAGGCCACACTTCCCTAAATCTGCCTCTGCTGTAGATCTCCTGTGGACAGAGTTGAACAACTCTCTACATATGTTCTTCGGGTCTCTGGACAAACTGTAATATATAATACAGTGGTACCTCGGGTTAAGTACTTAATTCGTTCTGGAGGTCCGTACTTAACCTGAAACTGTTCTTAACCTGAAGCACCACTTTAGCTAATGGGGCCTCCTGCTGCTGCCGCGCCACCGGAGCACGATTTCTGTTCTCATCCTGAAGCAAAGTTCTTAACCTGAAGCACTTTTTCTGGGTTAGTGGAGTCTGTAACCTGAAGTGTATGTAACCTGAAGCATATGTAACCTGAGGTACCACTGTATATGTTAAAATAGTGCTTTATAATATATCATTCATTCATGCATGACTTACAGCATAACCCGATGGATATTTATGCAGAAGTATGGCTGTGTACACAACATACATTTAAAGCATGTGACTTTCTCCAAAGAATCCTGGGATCTGTAGTTTGTTTAGACTGCTGGGAATTGTAGCTTTGCAAAGAGTAAACTACTGTTGTAGGGATTCTTTGGAAGAAGCCATGGGCTTGAAATGTGTTTTAAAGGCATTGTGTGTACACAACCTGGACATAAGTCCCACTGAGTTCTGTAGAGCTTGCTCCCCAGTAAGTGTACATAAGTTTGTTCTGTTAGACTGCAATTCTGTGCACACTTGCCTAGGAATAAGCCTCATTCAACATGGTGGCGCTTATTTCTGAATCCACAGTTGTTGGGTTGTGCTTGAATTTTCCTGTTTGTGTGACCTTGATGTACTGGTCCGATCATTGATATAATGCCACGCAACTGTGTATACTGCGATTTACTGAAGTGCTGAATGTCAAGTGTAAATGAGCCGTGGCAATGAGCAAGGAAAACGACATTAATATAATCGTAGTCGGTCATGTGTAATAAAGCAAGAAAAGGCGAAATGTAAATGGAGCACAAATTGCAATGTTTAATGGGATTCTAAGTAGTGATAGTGCATGAAAATCTCTCAGCGATGTCTAACATACTACCAAGAGACGGACTGTGATTTCAGTGACATCATAACACTTATGCACAGATGTCTTTCTGGGTTGGTAACCCTCTTAATTAATTCCACATGCAGCAGGAGGTTAACTCCTGCAACCAGGGACTGAAGTTGTTTCTTCTCATGCACTGCCTACAACACTAGCAAGCTATTAGAAATATTTCCCATTTCCCCTTTGCTACACGTATAGCTCCATCTTATAACTATGACTGCATATAATAGATGGAAAATGAAAAATTTTGTAATCCAGATTCTGTAATAAAACTAATAAAAGCTGGCTTTTGTTGCCTGTGTAAGAAATGCAACACGAGCCAATTTGCACAATTTCTCTTAATTTGCATCACTTACAGTGCAATCCTGTGGATGTCTGCTCAGTCAAAGTAATCCCTATGCAGATCAATGGGACTTACTTCCAGGTAAGTGGGGAACCTGTTGCCCTGCAGATGCAGACTCTGACTTCTGGATTATGGGATCCCCATCACTGGCATACAGGATCGTTGAGTCTTATTTGGCTGTATTACTGAATCCAAGCTTAATTATTTGCATGATTTATTATGGGGTTTCTTAAAGGTGTATCAATATTTATTCGCTTCACTTATTAATTGCTTCCTAAAAGGCTTGTTGAATGAGGAAAGTCTTCAAGAGATGCCAAAAAGGACAACAGAGATGGCCTAAGTCTGATGTGTGATGGGAGGCAATTTGAAACAACAGGGGCCACCACAGTAAAGGCCTGATCCCAAAATCATACAGAATGGACTTCCTGGTAAGATGGTATCTGCATGACGCCCTCTCTTGCCGAGCGCAGCTATTTGTTGGGTATATAAATATATAAATACAAGTGTTCTGTGTTGGGGACTGACGTTTCAATACCTCAGGTAGAAAATCCAAATCACACCCTTTAATGGTGCCCAAATTTAGCTGACTGAAGCAGCTTGGCTCACCACCCCAGCCTGTACACCCACCCATTGCCATCATATGCTGTAGGAAAGAACAATACCTGACTCCCAAAATGAAGCTCCAGAAGCCACAGTGAAGGCACTATGCTAATCAGGTAGATGAATATTGCTGGGGAAAACCTGGGAAGGAATAAAAAGAAACTGGATTTACCAAGCTTAGCCAGAATTGCGCAATCTATCATTTTCTTCTGTCAAAACAATGAAGAGATGGGTTGGATAAATATTATGTGACGCCATGTGGAAGAAAAAGAAATGGGGATTGCGTCCTGTTTTGAACAATACTCTATGGTATTATTCCCCCCCCCAAAAAAATATATTTGTTGAAACTCTGATTTTCAGGGGGGTTTGTATGCTGAATGCTCCCCTACGTTTTGAAGTGGTGGCTGTGGCTGCATCTTCAGACAACAACAACAACAACAACAGCAACAATTCTGAGGCTCATAAAACAACAACACATTATTGCTCTGCTTACCATCCACTTTTCTGAGCAGTGAGGAGTTCCAGGAATACAGAACCTACTTGAGTTTCTTTTTCATTGGAAAGAGATCACTGGTATTGCCACAGAGCAACCCACACTGATCATCTGACACACAGAAATATGACAGGAAACCTGTGACAATAATTCTGGTATGCACTTCTGGTTCAATCTTTTCTTGGGATGTGGTTTTATTTTGGGTTTAACTGCTCTGATGTAATCTTTAGCACTGATGGTTTACCCAATGCTTTTCCAAGTTCGATTTACATTTACTATATGAGCTGCCCTGGCCTTAGGCTATGTACTGACTGTACATTTAAAGCACTCTCCCCTCCCCCCCCCCCCGGACACATGGGAACTATAGTTTGTTAAGGGTGCTGGAAATTGTGATGAGTAAACTACGGTTCCCAAGATTCTCTGGGGAAGCCATGCAATTTGAATGTTTGGATGTACGCAGTCTTTTAGAAAACAGTTTATGAATGAATGAACTAGCCCTTGCTCCCACAAGTCAGCCTGACCCACCCTCTGTGGTATACTACCTCCATTGTCCATTGTCAATGCCCTCTGTCACCACCCCAGCCCTTGCTAAACCTTTTCAGCCAAATTTTGGAAGCATAATAAATAGTCTTGAATCAGTATGTGCAAAATATCTTCAATTTAGCATACACAAAGGAAAAGTCCCAGTCAAACGGAACTGCCAACACTGTAAGTTCTTTATGCTACTTCTCTACCGCTGCTTAGAAACTACAGTAATTCAGCACTATATGGGTAGCTTAAATAATAAAATACAGTGGTACCTTGGTTTGCATACGTCTTGGTTTGCATACGTTTTGGATTACAAACACTTCAAACCCAGAAGTGTGTGTCCCGGTTTGCAACCTTTTTTTGGATTACAACCCTTTTTTATTATTATTACGAACACATTTTTTTTCGGAGGCCCCATTGGCGAAAGCGCACCTTGGGTTACAACCTGTTTTGGTTTACAAACAGACCTCCGGAATGGATTATGGTTGTAAATCTAGGTACCACTGTACTATGTTTGCTATCATGATCAAGGCTGCTGCTCTTTTTTTAAACTTCCAAATTGCTGTAACATTGGAAGAAAGTTTGGAAGAAAGTTTTAAAAATTCATTTAGAAAAGTATCGTAAAATTAATGAGTATTAGAAAAATGTTGGAATGAAATTATTTGGCTTTAGCAGAAATGTTAAAAAGAATTATGTAAGAATATGTTATGGTTAAGAGAATTTGGTATAAATAAGATTTAAGTTTTAAGTTTTAGGGTTTTTTATGGTAAGATAAGGTTAAAATAGATTAAGGTAGTTTAATGACAGAATATTGTGAAAGATGGAAAGATTTGCTGAGATAATTAACTACTAGAATACAAAAAAGGGAGGTGTGAGGAGGTCGATGAAATAAGGTAATGGCAGTTAAGGATCTGGGAATATTGGATCTGTTTTTAAATTTTTTGTTTATTTTTGCTTTCTGATTTTGATGTATTGTGTGTTTTGTTTTTTCTTTTTGACTTTGGTTTTTACTGATTTGTATTGTTTAATTGTTACTTTTATCTACTTTTTTTTCTTTCTTTTTCTCTTTCTCTTGTTTTTTCCTTCTTTTTTCTTTGTAATCTTAAAATTCTCATTTAAAAAAAACAAAAAACATTCCTGTTCTTTCTTTCTTTCTTTTCGATCACTTACTATATCATTGTTCCTACGAATGGATTTTCTCTCCAGCCTTTCAATAAGGAAGCCATGCAACTTGTTTCCATCTGATTGCTGAATATAAAGCAGGTGTCCAAGCTGAGAAGCAGTTGTGGTGGGGAACTCACTCTGCACTGGATGACGGCTTCCCCACTAGGATTTCAGTGTATGAAAAATTCTTCCAGCTGGCCAGGGACTGATGCTGATCTAATGAAGTTGTCTTCAGCCAACTGACTTTGGCTCAAGCTATCTCTTCAAAAGAAGACATCTTGAGAAAACATTCTTGGCCAGCTGCACTATATTCTTTCCTCCCAGTGTCTGTCATTAAGAACTAATTCATCACCATCTCTCCAGCCTTTTCGTTAAGTAATAAGAAAGGCATATACCTTTATTTGCAATTAGCGAAAGGTCAGTCATGATGCTGCCTGCAGAGGTGAAGAGGGGGCCCACATGTCAGAGGGAAGACCCAGAGTAAAGAGGGATACTGCATCCTTTTCAGTTGTAACAGGCTGGTTTTGTTGCTAGCAAAATAGTACCTGAAGTGCAGCATGTTATTTTCCCCCCATATGAGTGAATGGTACCCATTCATTTATATGGCAGATTCTTTAATAGGCATTCTCAGAAAGACTGTTGGATTCTGTCTCTGTTTCTTAGAGACAGCAGGGTCTTCCTCAAACCTTTCTTTTTCAGGACGTTGTAGTTGTGGTCTGCGGGACTGACAGCCACTGCTTTCAGGCCAGAACAAGTTGGGCTCTGAGGCAGAGGGAGCAGTGGGAGGTATGCTCTAGGAAGCTAAGGCAGGCAAGAACCAACATCCCAGGTGGGGCTCACTAGGGAAGAGGTGAGGGTTGCAAGCCTCTTGATGGCCTAGGCCAGTTAATATAAATAATAATAAATTTTATTTATACCCCGCCCTCCCCAGCCGAAGCTGGGCTCAGGGCGGCTAACAACAGTCAAAATAATCCAACATTCTAAAAACCTTTCATTATAAAAATTAATTAAAATCAAATTGATGGCAACCATTAAGCAAAGTTCTGTGCAGATCGCCAGCGGAGGGGGTCAGGCTGCGCCCTGACCAAAGGCCTGGTGGAACAGTTCTGTCTTACAGGCCCTGCGAAAAGATGTCAGGTCCCGCAGGGCCCTAGTCTCTTGTGACAGAGCAGAGTTGGCCTTACCTTTACCTTTACCTTTACCTTTACCATACCATAGACATGCAGGCCAACTGGCCTAGGCCAACTGGCTTGAAAAAGGACAGTTTGTTGGGCTCCAGTTGGCCTGCATGTCTATGGTATGGTAAAGGTAAAGGTAAAACACATGTGGGGTGATACAAATAACGGGGGTTTTGCTACAAAACAATTACAAAACTTTGGCACCAGTTTCAAGGGGATCCCAGATTTTGGGGTTCGTAGGTAATGAAGCTCACATACCCTTATCCCCAAGACTGACTCTGCTCTCTCTTTCTGTTTGGGAGTTATGTTCTCTCCCCAAATCCTGCCTGCCTGAGCCAGGAGCTCAGGCAGCTGGTTGAAATCATCCTGCAGGTGCCATTCCAGATTTTTCTGAGTAGGGTGGTAGGCCAAGATTCTCAAGGCCACCCTTGAATATTTTCAAGATTAAACTGCAGAAAATCTGTACACTAATGAGCATAAATTATAGCACTGGAAAGTCTCCCTTTTTCTTTTGTGAGCGAAGAGATTTGTGCCTTTGATATGCATACCCAGCTCATAGGAATGGTAACTTGACATAATAAAAACCCTGCAGAAACTTCCCCTTCCCCATAGGAGTTTCCTCCTTGGATCCTGCGAAGGGGCTGCAGAAGACCTATGAAGTTCCCAGGTGAAGCCTTCACAGCTGGGACTGCCTCATCACAAGTAGCAGTCCAGCTTCTCACCTCTGCTTAAATTCATCACAGGACCATATCATGGGTGCACAGAAGCGGACAGAGAGATCTGCATGTTCTATCAGACAAACAATTGTCTGTCATGCAGATTTGATAAACCAACACAGGGCTAGTTTCCAAAGATACACCCAAGTAATAGGAAACTCTTTTCATTTTTGGGGAGTGAAGTCAGAGAGCCAAAACATCAGCTGATGACATGACATATGCATCACTGGCAAGTACTTCTGTACACATTTCACTGTGGCTTGAAAAAGGACAGTTTAATGGGCTCACAAGCCCTAGGTTTTCCCCTTTGGCGTGAATGAGAAAACAAAAAACTTTGCTTAGTAAAAATGCAAACTGGACTAGGAATCACATAGTCAAAAAAGAAAACCTCCAAGTAGGGATGGAAGAATCTGTCCATTGTAGTTCTATCCATTTCTCATTTTTTCCCCCAATCTGAAATTCAGTTCTCCATATTTCTGCATGAAATCCTTACGAAAGTTCTTCAGTACTATATTGCGAATTTCTACTAATAAAAACATTTTGTGGGCTGTTTTAACTAACATGCACATTTTTACAAGTGAATTCTAATAATAACAATGAATTTTTGTATATTGTGTTCATTAATATGTTCATTTTAATGCACATTTCCCACGAATAGGCACATTTTGTGAAACATTGTAGAGCTGCATCACAAAATACAGATGATTGTGATTTTTTTAAGGATGGCTATGTTTCAGTTCTCATCTTCTTTCAGAAAGTAGAAATTCGATAGATTTGGCTCTAAATGTGAACCAGATTTCTCTTGCAACCCTACCCAAAGGTAGTATTCTCATATTGGCTTGCCTCAATAAATCATGGAGATGTTTAAATGAGCCAGTTCACATAGTTAGTTGTTGAGAAATCAAGAGATAGGGAAGCTTGTGTGAAATGGGCCCCTCTCCATCTTTTGCTTATTTATATGTGTATTTCCTTAAACGAAGCAACTGGTGATTGTGTGATTCCCCCTTAGGTCAGATTGGAGCTTGTTGTGGCTTATGACCTGCTAGATGAAATCCAGTGAAGTCAGAGGAGGACAAAGATGCCATACCTTTCACCATGGTGAGAAAGAAGAACCAGCCGTCACAAAGGTAGACTGCTACACTGTTAGCAGTTTGGCACAAGCTAGCTTTAGGTGTGTGGTTTGGCTGAGCCAAGATTTGTTAACAAATCTTACTGCCTTTTTCTCTTTTAACCATGCCATCGTTTGTTAAACTGTCTGAAAGGATCTGCTGCTGGAAGTTGCATTCCATACATGTCGTAATGCATGTAACCGTTTCTCTAGACTACGCGGCATTGCCAAATCATTGCTTCTCTGGAAAGACCGCCTTCCTGGCATTTTCTGAGTTGTGAAATGAACAGAGGATGCTCGGTGCAATTGCACTGGATCCTCCACAGTGCTCCAAGCAAAAGTGTACGCTAAGGTGACTCTTCAATTAATCACTTCACAATTTCCAAAGCAAGGGAAGTGTCTTGGTTGAAAAAGTCTGGAGTTGCACAGAACGCTGGGGAGGCAATCCGTACGTTTCTTGATTTTGCTGACTCTACATTTCCCTGTTGGCTCTCACTTGCCTTTGTTGCAACGGGGCACAGTGTCTTATAATACATGAAAAAATCAACTCCTATGGGAACCGTGGATCAATACCAGTCATATGTCATAGCAGGAGGAGAGGATCATTTTAGCCACAGTCTGATTTATACCGGATTCTCCCAATCCACTGTGTTGCTAAAACTTTGACCCCCATATAAACTTGCCACCTGATAAGCCATTGCTCAAATGAACTCAAGCCTTCTGTCTGCACACACTTTTTTTTTTTGCTGGACTTGTTGCTTCTTTGCAAGCCCCCCTCCCCACCCACCCCCCTGCAGCACAGGCATTGGTGCTTCTCCTCTGCCTCACGCTTTGTGTCATCCTGATCTGCCACCCTTCTTGCTCTCTGTGGCGAAATGCAAATAGCTGCAGTGTCCCCTTAGTTGCTTAGCCTTCCCAACCAGCAATAAAGACAAGCAAGTGCTTCTGAACCTGAGTCAGAAAGTGCCGCAGCATTTCCGTTGCATTTCCAGGAGAAAGTTTGATTCAGAAAAACCTTGTTCAAAAGAAGAGAGAGAGAGAGAGAGAGAGAGAGAGAGAGAGAGAGAGGAAGGAAGGAAAGAAGGAAGGAAACTCTACTGAACTAGAATGGGACAAGCTGGAGGGCTGGGGATGGAGTTTGGGGAAGGGGACGATAAACCGTTGCAAAAGACAAAGGCTGTAAGCTCTAATAAGAGCCCGGTTCAAAGATGCAGATAGAAAGCAGATGTAAAGAAACAGGCGGGCAGGCAGAGAGAGACCAGGAGAGAATTGCTTACCATTTGTAGCCTCTGCCTTGCTTAAACTTGAGTGTGAGCACTGTTTCTATGCAGAGCGGGAGATTGAGCAATGCCAGCAGCCAGTATTTGGGCTCCTCCATAACTTTGGTCACTCTCCAGACTCCAAGCAGGGAGTGCAAGGCAAAAAGCAGCCGAGTCGCCAGGGCATTGAGCAGCACCAGCAGTTCCATCCTGAGTTGAGCTTCCCTCTCTTTCCCTGCCTCCTCCTCCTCTCCTCCAGCACCAAAAGGGACCTTGGTGCCTGGGAGTAGCAAAAGGGGGAGAGTCACGCTGGATGCTCTATGTGACGGGCAGAACTTTCCTCTTGTTCCATCTCCACAAAGGGGCCCATTATAACAAAAAGAAACAGCCTTGTCCCTCCCCCAGACTTCCTGAAAACTCTCTGAGAGAAGGGGGGAGGGAATCAAAACCAGACGGCAAGATTTGCAGTGTCAATGCAGGACCCGGAGAGACGGACTTCTCAGGAACTGTGGCTGGCTAACTTCACCAGGAACCTGGCCACAAATGTGCATTTTTTAATTTATAAATGGGCTAACTTTTCTGCTGCCTTTATATCAGCACCACATTTTGCCAATTGCTCTTGAGTTCAACAGAGAGAAGAAGCGAGAAAAATTGCCTATCCGTTACCCAGGAGGTCTTATTTTAAAAGACTGGTCCTCTTAATGGATCTTAATAGATCTTAATGGAGGAGCCTACTTGCCAGCCCTACTTGTAGATGCAGGATTTCATTCATTTATTGATAACAAATGTATCTGTTATATTTGCATTCTCCCTTCCCCGCCCAAGTATCTCAGGGTCATATCCCACTTCAGAGTAAGACCACTGAAGTTAGTGGACACGACTAACTTCGGTCCATTAACTTCAGTGGGCCTTCTCTGAGTAAGATTTAGCTAAACGCAATCCTCAGAGAGGAATTTTGTTCTCACGACAAGCCTATGAGATAGATTTTGGGATAAGAGGTAGGGTGTTGCCTTGCGCAATGCAGTCACCTCTACGGCTAACAATTTCCAGAAGGATAACTGTATTACTCTGTGTCAGCAAAGAGAACAAAGTATTGGGGCTCCTTAAAGACTAACAAATGCTTACGGCATAAACTTTTGTGAACTAGAGTCCAATTCATCACCTGCATGTAATATTATCGTATGTTTGCTGGTACGTATTGGTGTGCAACAAAGACTCTTGTGTCATCTTAGGAGAGCATTCTACACATCTTAGATGGGTTCCGGACCATGAAAGCTGCTGCCGTAACAAATGTGTTAGTCTTCAAGGTGCCGTGTAACTTTTAAGCAATTTTTCACATAGCCAAGGCTACCATTCTAGGCAGTACACTACTTTGGGCCAATTCACACATGCCCGCCCATTACTTTATAGCCACTGCATCAGGTTGTGGGACTTACTGTAGGTGTATGATGGATCCCATGAATCTTTCCAATTGCCTCAAATGCACTGCTTTCCAGTGGAGTCACTTCATAGATTAATCTATGGGTTCTCAGGAGAAACCATGTGATCTGTGCATATATGTGGAAACCAGACCATAGTATAGGGCCAGCACAATCAAAAGCATTGCAATGGCAAGTGATTAGAGCTGGTTGCTGACAATTCTGGAGCATTAGAACCTCTTGGGAAACTGGAGTGGTTTTTTCTTTACCACTACTGTGGCTTAAGCTTGGATCTATCCTTGATAGCTTAATCTTTTTTCTTTTTCTTTTTTGAAATAAATTTTATTTGATTTTACAAGTAAGAAGTTATCACATTACCAAATACATAACCACATGTAGAGATTTCTCTGAATCCTTCAACTTCCCACCTTCCCATCCATGGGTCTTCTTGTCAGCATTTTCACCTGCATATCATTACCTAACCCATATTTTATATCTTTCCATGTTATCCATTGCATTTGTTACATTACAAGTGTTGCTAAAATCCTCCTAATGTTTTCATCTGCTTACAGTGGTCTCCTAAATACATTGTAATTTTTCCTCATTCTTTCTTGAAGTTGTTGTCTTCTTAGTTCCTGAGCTTTCCGGTCAGTTTTGCCATTTCGGCATATTCTAGCAGCTTAATTTGCCATTGCTCTCTTGTGGTGACTTTGTCTTCTTTCCATCTTTGGGCTAGTAGCAGCCGTGCGGCTATTACCACATACATGAAAAGTCTTTTCTGCTCCTTTGTAATGCTGGTACCTACAATTCCTAAAAGAAAAGCTTTGAATTCTGCTCAGAATTCAATGTAGGTCTTTCAGGACAGGTGTTATATGGTCTCGGCAGTCACTCCCAGTCACCAGTCTAGCTGCCGCATTCAGGATGCTGTTTTGTTGCCGCAGCTCCAGTCAGATTCAGCTGCCAGACTGATAAGCTTTTGTGTATGAAATGGTCTGTGCATGGAAAGGGAGTGCCCTTGCCACAAATTATTTGGGGCCATCCTTGGGAGGGATTCATACAGAAACACAGGATGTGGACTCCTCTGAGGACAGAGAATTCTTCCTCTTTCAGACTCCAAAACAAGCCTCTCCCATGTGCCTCTAGATTTAATTTTGGGGTGTGTACCAATGCTGTATAAAGTCTGGGAAATGCTGTCTTAAGTACCCACGGCAGGTGGTGGAGGGGGACATCAGTGTTGGAAGTTTTTTCCTGAGGATTAAATTTTAATATCAAATAACTTGTTTGAAGTCCTACCGTTTCTCTGCCATTTGCAGCCGAGTTAATAACATATGTTCCTGGAGGATTACAGTCAATGATTAAGAAAATTAGGTTTTGTTTGAATTTAATTTAGTTATATAAAGCTGCTACAATAATTTACAGCTTTGATATTTAATATTTAATAAGCTGGTTCTTCAAAGAATCCTCACAGTAATTGTGTCATTACATATTGAAATATTATCCCCATAAGTCATTTATATTTGCTAGTTTGAGAGGCACGTTCATCAACTCGATTGGCTCAACATGAACTATCTGATGAAGGAGCCTCAGCATTATAGGTCGGGGGGCTGTTCCCATTCCCAATGCTCAATATGTCATAAGCCACTTGAGAGGAATTTTGCAGCAAACACTTATTGCAATAAGACGCTGCTGCTCTGTTTCCTTCGCCTCTAATCTCCTTTAATTGTGGCCTCGTTTTCCGTGACCGCTAGAACACGCTGTTCGTTTGTCAGTCTGCTAACTTCTTTTTCTTTTTCACTCTCAGATATCTTCCCCATAGAATGCAAGTGGAACAAACGTTAATATATACCGTCTTTTTTGCTCTATAAGACACACTTTTTCCCTCCTAAAAAGTAAGGGGAAATGTGTGTGCATCTTATGGAGCGAATGCAGGCTGCGCAGCTATCCCAGAAGCCAGAACAGCAAGAGGGATCGCTGCTTTCACTGCGCAGCAATCCCTCTTGCTGTTCTGGCTTCTGGGATTCAGAATATTTTTTTTCTTGTTTTCCTCCTCCAAAAACTAGGTGCGTCTTGTGCGTCTTATAGAGCAAAAAATACGGTATTTGTTTGGCTTGTTCTGGGCATTTCAACAGTCCTCAGGTGAGTTACTCATGAACACCAAGGGTCACCGCTGAGCTTCCAGTTGACTAGCCCTTTTTCCAGCGGTTGCTCACCAGAATCAGAAAGTGCCAAGAGTGGGGATGTTTGAGGAACCAGATCTTTGCAGATTTTTGATATGAGCTGACCTAATCCACAGATCCTCGGCTAATGTACAGATAAGAATGCAGCTGTCCTTTGGGTTTTGTGCAATGTGGTTTGCTCTAAACAAAGCAATACAAAGTACCAAAATGCATATACGGATGTTTATTTAGGATAAAAAAAAATTATAAGTGGCTAATTTATGAGAAAATGTATTTAGAAATATACAGGATGTGAGAAAATATGTTCAGAAATGTGTATTTGGCTGCATATTTTTATATGAATGTTCATGTTTCTCCCTCAGACCCATGCCCTTAAATCACAGGAATGTGATGGATTTACCAATGAGTTCATGTTAACCTGACTGGGACCTGAACTAGTAGGTGGGCCACCAGAAACAGCACGTGAAATACATATGAAACTTGCACGGTCGGTTTCTAGTTAAGATCCTTATTTCCATCAGGGCAGCTATTACAGGATGCCAACACCACATTGTAAAATCCCCACACTGTGAATCAGGCAACAGTGAAAAGACATCCCTTTATCACTGCCTACTATAAAGCTTCTGGATCTGCTGGACCCCCGTACTCTGGGGAACTCGTTTCTGAAGGCAGCCCTCAAACTATGCCAGATTATCTCTGTGCTTAACAGATGCCTGTCTATCTGTATCTGCCATCTTGCGCTGGACAGAAAAGTGCCTGATTTAACACTAGATGCATAAACCCTGGCCATATGGCTCATACCAAGAGCAGTGTGTTTGTTTGTTTGTGTGTGTGTGTGTGTGTGTGTGTCTTTTGAAAGTAACTGTTGAATAGCTCTTTGCAAAGATTTGTCGAGATGTGATGTTAATGCTTAAAATTAGGAGTTTGGATTCAGTTATTTTTTTGTGCATCCAGACAGGAGAATTTTGTGGCTCATAGCTACTGCCATGATGTTTTAAAAAGGCCAATAGCGCTTTTTTTAGAGGGGGAGGGGTGCACAGCATGTAACCTGACGGTGCTAAGATGCTTTCTCTCAAAGTGCAACTCACATCAGAATGTGATTGAATTCATAAACCTACAACACACATGGTTGCAAATACAATTTGATGAGGAGCCTTTAAACAAACTTCCCATGAAATCTGGAAAGACACCTCTTGAGGATGGTGGAAGTGGCGGCGGGGGGGCGGGGAGAGAATATTGCTGCGTGAGCAAACCTCATTCTGCACGTGCAGCAACTCAGTTGAATCCCACCCATAGTATTTTAGAGAAACAAAAGCATTCATACTAATGCTACATAGGAAATAGATTCTGAAAGCTTGAAGCAGCAGGAGTAGCTGAAGTCAATGATAGTGGCAGTCCTTCTCTTCCAGGCCACGTGGAAATGGGTCAGATAGACAGCAGGACCCAAATCTTGACACAGCCTCATCCACAGCACACACTGCCACTTAGGCCTCTCAGTGGCACCTGCAGCCACCAGCTTGCCCCTTGCAGGCCAGTGTGCTGAGAGCCAGTGTGGTGTAGTGGTTAAGAGCGGTAGACTAGTAATCTGGTGAACCGGGTTCACGTCTCCTCTCCTCCACATGCAGCTGCTGGGTGAACTTGGGCTAGTCACACTTCTCTGAAGTCTCTCAGCCCCACTCACCTCACAGAGTGTTTGTTGTGGGGGAGGAAGGGAAAGGAGAATATTAGCCGCTTTGAGACTCCTTCGGGTAGTGATAAAGCGGGATATCAAATCCAAACTC